TTTTGTAAATCATGCCAATCTATCATGAAAATATATTGTATATATACAAATGTGCTTTATGTTTTATTATCTTTTTTATGAAAATATTATTATTAGTAAAAAAATTCAATAATTGTTAAATTTCAAAATTAAATTATAATGCATTTATATAATTATGTATATAAACATTATATCAAATATATTAATTTTTTTTTGAGTTTTGAATTGTTAACAAAAAAAATTAATAAAAAATTCGCATACATATTCGGTTATAAATATTATTAGAAATTTATAAAACATATTTAATAGAACAAGAAAATATTATTTAAGCAATAGAAACAAACAGACATTTATTTATAACGAATTTATAAATATTTTTTTTTTAAACGTAATATTTGAAACGCACAATATTTACAAATAATAATCGAAATTATTTAAAACAATACAAAAGTTCCATATCAATTCATTTTGGAAAATACGTAAATTATTTACAAATAAATAAAATTGTAAACATGAATGCAATTCATAAATGGAGAAATTTATTAAAAATATAGGCGAGTTGTTTTACTCTAAAAAGCAAATTTACTTACCGCCTCGGTCACTAGCGCGACTATGCCGACCAGCGGCTTGCTCTATTATGTCGTTTAAGACCATCACATCTTTAAAGGAAGATAAATTGAACATTTATTTTTTGTTAAGTTATAGTTAAAATAATCATAGGAAGTTCTATATGACTCATACCTTTCATGTCGACCACCGTTTGCGTTTGGACGGGCTCGATAAAAGGATTGTCGTGGTGTTTTATTTTTCCGGCATCATCAGTACATTCAAGGCCCAATTCCTATGAATTAGAAATATATTATTAATACGTGACATATTAGACTTACACCAATCTTTATTCTTATCTGTTTATAAATAATTTCTACATATTTGTTTTATATTATTTGTTTTATATTGTTTTATATTATTATTAAATTGTATATATAATTTAGTACTTAATAATTGATGTAAGGTATCACTGAGTATCAATATTAATAGATATATTATGCATATATGCGTAACAATAATTACTATATGTATACTGTATTTTAGTACCTAATAAAGAAAGTTCTTCATTATTTATAGCGTGTTGCATGTGATTGGCAATCTATTAAAATCCCAACGAAAGAGAATTAAAGAGAACTACCATATTACTGAATTCGTCCTCTGGGAACAATCAAATATATAAGTATAAAACTATTTATGAGACCTTATTAGAAAATAAACTCAAAAAATTTTCAAGTAATTATATATCTAATTTGTAGCCTATATAATGTACCTATGCACTTATACAATTCATTACATATCACAGCAGAGAAGCACAAAGTATATTAAAATATTCATACCGTTAAAGAAAAGGTTAGGAACCATTAGCATAGATACTTATTATTACAAACTCTAAATTAATGCAATTTAAACCGTTGGCTATTTAAGCTAGCTGAGTATAAAACCTTACAAAAAGTTTTGTGAAAGACATTATAGTTATCACAGAAATCTAGTTTGCTATATGGTCTTATATTATTGAACCAAACACTGAGTTTTAATTTTTGTTTTAATTTTCATAATTTTATCTAATATGACATTAAGTTGATAATAGACTTTTTGGAAAATGTAAATCAACTGCTTCATTTCGTATCGGTAAATAAATATATTATGATTATAAGACGGTTTTTTTCGCTCTGGTAGAATGTCTTTAGTACAATATTCAGAAGTGTGTAAGAAACGTTTTTGCATCCCGTCTTGCAAAATATGTGATGTATTTAGATCTTGAAAGTTATCCTATAATTTATCTCTTATGTGTTTGGCACATCCATTTCAGACCGCGAATCAAAATCGCTTCAATAAAACAGGCAATTCGAAATTTTTGTATGAAAAAAATTTTTAATTAAAAAAACAAATCATTTATCTAGCGTAAAATAGTACGAATTATGTCATTGTATAGCCATAGACTAACACTAAGAAATTTGTTAATACATTTAAAACCATTCAAGTTTAATTAGTTTTTGGTATTATTTTATAATAGAGAGTATAACGAAAATTACTTACGTAATCTCGATGTTGTTCCTTATGATTATTATCCATATAATTTGTACCATTCGAGGCAGCACCCGATTGATGTCGCGTATTTCGATTTCTTAATTTACTTTCTTTGGTCATCGTACTGGCACCCAAGGCTGCCATACCACCAAGCAAATCATTATGCGATGTATACGATATTCTTGACTGATGCGAGGTATAAGATGAATGTCTAGAACCTATGCCATTAAAAAAAAACCTTATTAATTTTTATATTATTCGTTGAGTATATGTATTGAAAATACCTAAATTGCCATAATAAACTGGCACAATAATAGCACCATTTTCCTCAGACATCGGTGTTACCGCATTGGAGTCATCTGCATAAGGCAAATGCTGTTGTGCATCTTGATATGTTGACAGTACGAGCGGCTTTCGATCGCTTCCTGGTATGCCAAAACGTCCTCGCCCATTCCGTATTGTATACTGAGGTGGTTTTTTGTTTGAATTTTTTGTTAGTAGTTGCTTTATATTTTACACACATTTAGGGTAGTAGTAGTAGTGGTGAGTGGCAAATATGATATAAGATTATTATTCAAAATAAAGTTTAGAATGACTTTATGAATTGATTGACAACAACACAAAACCATAACTAAAAACTAACTCCAAAATTATATACAAAATATTTAATCAGAACAAATTTAAAATCATATATCGAATATGTCAAATGAAAACTATTTAAGCGATATAAAATTATGAAAAAATATTATATAAAATTTACATAATTAGTTTTTATTAAAAATATTAAAGATTAAAAGATTAAAATAGTACAGGATTTGAGAATAGGAACTGCACTATGGGCATTAAGTGTGGCCCAATATTTATTAGGAGCAACAGAATACAAAAAAATACTGTAACATAAAGTTAAACACGACAAAAAGTATAGGTATGATTATAGATGATTATTGTGCATTTTACAAACGATATCGAGATGGAATGAGCTTAAGATAGTTATGTAGATGCGATTTTACGATCGTTATATATATTAGATATACGAATATAAACAAAATATTAAATCAAATGATAGTAAATAATTATACAGTAACGATTATGGATAATGATAGTACCTAAAACACAAAATAAACACTAAATTTTTAAGGTATTACTGGATTATATAGTATTTGCATGTAAGATACAATAGAATGGTTACAATATAAATATTTTATTATATATATATATATGTATATATTAAGTTGATATTATTACATTTTACATATTACATACATACATACATACATATATGCACATACATATACATATACGTTTAGGTGGTGTTAAATAATGTCGACAACGAATTTTTATTTTGATAGATACAAAATTTGCCATATTGATGTGTTTGGTGAGTTCAGATGAAGATATAATGCTATTATTATGTATGTAACAAAATAGTATATATGTGGTATATAGCATAAAATTATATATTATATAAGGAACAATGCTACGTATTAGCTTTATTGTGAACAGCGTATATACTACATATATAATACTATTTGTTTAGAAGTTTGTTATATTTGCATTGACAAATTGTATGGCGCGATTTTTGGCGCTTACCTTATGTGAACTACGTGATCCCCTGCGTATGTTAAACGGTGAACCAGGTAAGGATAAGGATGTCTAAGTTTTTTAATTTAAATAAAAATATATAGAAGAAGAAAAAGAAAAATAAATGAAATCAAATATTCATCTATGCAAATTTTGGTAATTTTTTTGTTAAATATTTCTTTTATTGCAGAATTGAATTTGTATAACGAGTGAGAGAGTTAAAAGTACTAAATACTGTGTATTATGTATGTGGTGGTATATTGTATATATGAGTATATGTATGTTTATGAACTTTAGTTACTGGAGATCCAAAGTTATTTATAGAAAGAATGACAGAATAAAGTGTAACTTTTTTGGAACATAACTGGACTTGGTATGATTTGTTTGCAAATGTATGGATAGTAAGAGTTGTTTTGAATTGAGTTTTAAAATTGAAAATTTATATAAACTAAAGTAAATTAAAAAAAATAAAAAAATTTAAATGTTTAACGTCAATAACATAATTTAAAATAAAATAAATGAAAACGTTGTGTTGTGAACTAATTAAAACGGCATAGCAAAATTACGACTACGAAGGGGACGGGTTTAAATAAATCACTGCTACAGTATTGGACCAAAAGTCAACAATATCTAAACTATATTCATATAGTCATAAACAAATTTTCATATATGCTTATTAAAATGAATAAATTTTTGTTTTAACAGAACTTAACTCTTTAATTAATTAATTTTATTAAATATACAATTCATTTTAAATTACTTAAATTTATTAAAATTTATTTCTATAAATCACTTTTAAACATGTTTAATTATTAATTTTGTTATTTCTATAATTTCAAAATTATTTATGCAAAATTTAAACAAACTAAGAAATTAATTTAATTACTTAAAATTAATTCTACGGCATTTCTACAGAAACGAAATAAATTTTTCAAAAAAAAATTTTAAAAGGAAATTTCCACAAAAATAAGGAATTATTGTATTACAGTTTCCAATGAAATTGTATCTGAATTTGTTGTTGTACTTGTATTGACACTGGTAATGTTTTTCGGTTATTTTTTGTTGTTGTAATTGTAATTGTAATTGTAATTGTAATCTTAGTTTAAGTTTTTTATTGTTTGCAGTTTGTATTGTTAAGATACATTTGTATTGTACAGAGAGTCTTGGCAATGTTCAATTTATAAGTATTTGTAAAGCCAATTTGTGTCTTTAAATAATGTTCTTTAATATTAAGAACCTACCTGAGCAAACGATGGAGCAAAATTAATTTAAATTTTTATATATTTTTTGTACGTTCTATTAAGTTTTCTTTAACAATCGCACAAAAGTTCGCTGTTTTGCTTTATAAAAAGTTAAATCAATTTATTTAGACGCTCGGAAACAAGTAATGCCATAGTGAAACTGTATTTTAGAGAAAGTAAAATTCTAAAGCCAATTAGAAACAAGGCAATTGATGTAGGCAAATGCAATAAATATCAAACATAAGTCAAAAAATTTGTTTCAAAGTAATGCAATATAGTGTGAACCTAAGTACCTAATTAATTATTATTGGTGACAATTTATTTAATTGTTTAATTTGTTATAATTAATTTTTAAATTTATTGTAATTATTTGAATTAAGCTCTTTTGTGCTTAAGCGGCAACGGCCAGGTTTAAGCTTAGGTGATTAAATTGTGATATAAGTTATTTAGTTCTAGAGCAGCATAAAAATAAATTTAAATAAAGGGGATGAAAAAAATTAAATAAATTATTTAGTTAAATATTATACTTATTTTAAAGTACACTATCCTCATTTTGTTAAGATTTGTTAAATAAATACTAGTATAACTTATGCTATGTTATTTAGTTTAGTTTAGTTTAGTTTAGTTTATATCAATAGCTTTTTTGTCAAACTATAATAAAATCCTTCACACACATACTAAAAATTAAATACTTAATATTTACTGAAATATTTTTTAATTTTTATTTTATTTATTTTTATTTTATTTAATTATTTTGATTCTTGGCATAAAAATCAATCCAAATATTTTTATAATAATAATGTAATTTTATCAAACCAGATAATGCACTCTCTTTCTCAACATTCAATCTGGGAATATTCCATTCTCATTCATTACAATTAATTATTCATTTCTAACAGTGTCTTGTTAAAATAAACGTTTAACAACGACACCCAATTTTGTAGCTACTCCGACGATATTACTATAGGTATTAGCCAGAAGCCCTAACGCTTTAAGATCGTCATTCATAAAACTTGAGAGCGCCACTGCAAAAATCGGGTGAAAAGTCAATCAACAAAAAACAAAATATATTCTGAGATCAAGTTTCAGATTCTGTAGTGACCAGTTTAATTTTGACAATACTAGCTTTGAAGCAGTCAAAAAATTCAAATACTTTAGAGTGCTACACAACTCTAAAGAAGACACATCAGCTGCGATATAAGATAGAATTCAGGTAGCAAATGAGACATACTATGTACATATAAAACTTTTTAAATATAAAATTTTATCAAGCCAATAAAAACTCCGTATGTGTATAAATGTTTAATTAGATAAGTCCTAACGTATGGCTGTGAAGTATGGACACTTAAAACAAACAAAACATGTCAACTACTATCCCATTAACGGAAAGTATAGTGAAAGGTTTTTGGCCCAATACGTCTAGATGATGATATATATCGTATTTGCAACAAACATGAAAAAGATAACTGAATTGACAAGCAGAATGTAATAGGATACATAAAATCACAACGACTAAGATGGTTAGGACATGTTCAACGTATAAACCGAGAACGATCAGTAAAACAAGCACTTGTAAGAAACGTAATTGGATCCCGAAGAAGAGGCAGACCCAGAAAGAGATGGCTAGATAATGCTGAAGAAGATTTAATCAAACTACGCTTGAATGAGTGAAAAACTTGGCATCGGATTAAGTCAGATGGCCAAACTTGGTTGAGGAAGCACCGGTTCACTCAGGACTGTTATGTTTAGGAAGAAGAATCTAATTGTATGTTAATATTTTGTGTTGTGCTTCGTGTTATAATAAAACAATTTCATTTACATTATTGACAACTTTATAAATGGATTTACTAAAAGTTATTCAAAGTCCTTATGAACGGTTTTATTGGCTCGACAAATGTTTTACCTTAATTGAGAGAGGAAAAGAAAGTTTGATTGATAGACAAACAGATAAATAGTCAATAAGTGCAAAGTAGGGGCGGGAACAACTGATTATTGCAGTTTATATAATATGTTACATCCCAAACGCAATAAAAGTGACTTTGATATGATACTAGATCCAGAACTGAATTTCAAAGGGTCTCCAATTCATAACTAAAAGAAATTATGGTGCAATTACTTGATGCAATTATTAACTGGCTATTGGTGCTTCAAGTAATATCTTTTCGAAAGTAAACTTGAAGTCAACCCATTCTATCTAAACGGTATAGTTTATATAAAATCTAAGCTGAACATATATCATATTTAATTCAACGCCATTCAATGTGTAACCAACAATATTGGAGAATGACAATATATCTATGAAGGGTTTAACAAAAAATACTCAACATTTACTATATTTAGAATATACGATAAGAACCAAAATTTTAGTTAAATATATAAATGTAAGTCTATATAATCAATTTTTTAAATAACTTTTTTTAAATTAGCTATTATTATAGTATAAAAACATATAAATTTTTTTCTATTTATCTATCTTTACATTTATTTATCTATTATTTATCAATGCTCATCTGAATATCGCTTTGTGGTTACTACATCTAGTCTACAGAATGCGTTGTGGTATTTTTCTATTAGGATAACGCATTGTGGTCGAATATTTACGAAGTATGAGGTATTTAGAATATTTTTTATAGTCATTTTTAATTTAGCAAATTTTTTTTTACAATGGTTTGAGTTTACCACATTTAATTATAATATTACTATAATCAGTTTATTTAGCTCAATACCTAATATCCAAATCAAACTGAGTTTCGAAGACTTTAAGTATAAATTAAAATTGTATAAAATGAAGGAATTAATCCAAATGTTGAACCATATACCTGTTCCGGCTTAAATTAAACAATGGACGTTTATATCAAAGCAAAGTTGTAAGTCTTTTAATTGAAATGTGTTTCATGTATGTAATTTTCAATTGCAGTCTTAGGAAATGAATTTATTTTTCAGTCCGAAATTACAAACAAATAAAAGTTACTTGATATTCACCGGCTTGTGGCCGAACATATTGCTTCTTTATGGAGGAATGATAAAATACTATTTTAAAATATCTACTGTATTTATATAATCTACAAAAGTACAAAAAACCAAACTAATTTTTTATTATTAGGATAGAGTGAAGTAAGAATCAATTAGCTACGCTTAGACTATTTGGTTTTAAGCTAAAAAAATATAACAAATAGATAATAAATATAGAAGATTACAGTGATTTACCACTGCAGAAATATGAGACCAAGAATATTAAGATATATTATTAATTTACTGAAAACAAACTTGAGCAGATAAGTATATATTTTTCTAATCACTTTATCGTAGAGTATAAGGTAAAACAAATAAAAAACTATACTTAAAAGTAAAAGAAAAGTTTTCTAGAATTCACTAACAAATATTCATTTTCCTAACTTTATAATAACTTTATATATTACTAACTTTATATCTAATGCCCAGGACCGCTTTGAGGCGGGCTTGACTTTTTTACGATTTACAAGACAACCAGACATCAGAATGAAAAAAGGTCTTTGGATTTGGCTTTTTTGACCTCAAATTATTCTAGCCTGATTTTTTCAACTTAAATAAAAAATGAGGCATTAGAGGGTTAAAAGTTTCAATATTTTCTTTGTAGATAAAATATCTTCTAATATGTGTAAAGGAATTGTTTATATGCAAGAACCTCAATGAATTATGTTAATTTAATTATAAAATTATAATGATTATTGCATTAATGTTGTATATATTTATAACTTATAACATATTAATAATTAATAATAGACTATATTAACAATTTAAAATAAAATAATTGGTTAAGGCACAATGCAATGTGAAGTCATGCAAATGCAATTTTATATATAACATTAATACCTATGTTTTTCTACACCTAAAATATCCATTTATTATAAATGCATGAAACAGTTTTTAAATAAAAAAAAAATATTTAAGTATTAATTTGGATTATTTTTAAATTTTTTTCTATGAAAATAATTGGGAAACTGATTCGCAAATATTTGATTAGAATAAAATGTAAAATAAATTTGCATTATTATTACAACGAATGTTATATTAATATTTTTTATTATATCAGTTAAATAATGTTTTGAGATTAAACTTAAGGCAGCTAATCAATTTCAGCTATTGATTGATTTATTTATTTATCTATCTTTTATTTATCTACATCTTAAAATACAGCCTAATTAATAGATGGATGAAAATTCGTAGAGAAAGAAATGAACCTCACTGAATTGATTGATCTTATAAAACAGATTAATAATACTTGATAAGACTGTAGCAACTATTCTCAACATTCTCATATTCTCAACATTTTTAAAATTACACGAATATGGAGCCTAAATAAACCTTAAAAAAATCAATACTTTACTTTGCAAATTTCGTTGAAACTCGAAATCTGATATGAGATTTAAACATATTTCACTTTGATTATATCTTGCAAATCTTTATCAACAAGTAGGAACTTAAGAATAAGAGCATCAGAATGAGTTCCCAATGCGATATTTTAAAAACAGCAAAACTCTTCAGATATGGCACCTACAAACCAAAGACACAATCAGTAATGTAATGATTACATTATGCAAATATCAAGTTTATATATTGGTAAACAGGCTCCATAGCTTTGATACATGGGCCCCACTTTGACTACGCTTGGACTTTATTAGTTCCCTTAATGATAAGTGAGCCAATAAGAGAATTGCTTACACCTGAATAGTGGTAGACCATAGAGCATTGTGAGTTCCCTTTTTTTAGATTGAATGTGATTGTGATTGATTAAATAATAAGTATCTTGTTAAGAGTTGGTGATTTATTTCAAGAAAAGAGCCTTTTTTCATAGTTTTATGTAATAAAATTTTATTTTGAGCAGTCTACCTACGCAGTCCGTATCGCAGTCTAGCTACACTCATGGCTCACAAGGTAGCCATCGACCTAGTATATTATTTTAAATCTAGAGTAGAATTATTGATATTGATATATTGGTAAATAGAGTAACATCAGTTTTTCAGTATCGAACAGGTCATTATTTTTTGAGAATTATTGAGATAATTTGCTCCACTATAGGATATTAGAAGTAGTACAGTAAGTATTTTCTAAAATTAAAGTTCATTTTATAAGTGATCTATAGATTATAATACCAAGTCTTATTATATAACTTTTTTAATTTCTTTAAGATGTAATACAGTACCTACCTAAAACCGAAAGCTATTTCAAACATAAAACTATTAATATTAACATTAATTAATATTTTTATTTCTTGTAAAATTTAATAACACAATTAATAATTTAATTGTTTAATTTATTAGGAGAATTAACTAATTTAGTCTTTTATACTTTTGATAAGGAATTTTTTATTTCTTAATAAAAATATTAAACATATAAATTCTTCTTCGAAGGAAGTCGGCAGTCATATATGTAATTACGGCCTGGAGAATATATAATAATGAACACAGTAGACCAGAAAATAAATATCAAAAACTGTGAAAAATACATCTTTTAGACAGAAAAGTTTTAGACGAAGGATGATTATAGGCTATTCTTTTAAAAATTAATACAGGAATCTTACCTTAAGAAGTCAATATCTAAATATTAATTGCAGATAGTTTTCCATATTTTATAGCATTATTTTTTTTTTTGTTTTTAAATTAATGTGCTAGGAAATAGAAGATGGTCAACTCTTATGTCAAAAGTAGTTTAAGAATAATAAATTTCAGGTTTTTTTTTAATTATTCAATCTTTGTGTTCAATAACATAAACTTATAAAAACAACAAGTAACTATTATTTTTCTAACATTTGTGATCATGCATGATATTTAATAAATAACAACAAATAATGTTAGAACCACAACTAATTTAACATTCCAGGAATTCTTCTAATTTCATACGCTTTTGGCAGAAAATTGTTAAAATAAAAAAAAAAAATAATAAAAACTAAAACTACGAAAAAATTACAATGACTAATGAACCAATTAAAATTTTCTATTATTAAATTTAAACGAAATGAAACGTATGGTAAAGATAATTATTCACAAAATGTGTAAATTATAAAATTAAAGTTAATAAAACTTAGAATAAACCGAAAACGGAATGTTTAAATTAACGAACATGTCGAAACGCAAAGAAGAGAAAGGAAGAAGAATTAACTTGAAGCACATTAGCCAGCTGCGGTATACTTACCGTGCTAACTTTACGAACTTTGGTAGCGGGTGCTGAAGTAGGTGCTGGTTGTCTTTGTATAACGCTCACCGACTCCGACTCCACTTCGACACTGCGTATCGACATTTTCTCCTTATTGTTGTCATCATTGCCCTTCTCACCGCCTACAAAGAGTTCATAACTAATACACGAATAGGTTGGACTCTTTGCTAGTTCTGGATGTAAGGCCGCTTCGGCTGCTTCCGCTGCATCGGCCGCTGCTTGTGCCGCCGCATTAGCACGTTCCTCTAACTTGGCAGCTTTCGCCGCCGCCGCTTCTTCTGCTTCCTATAAGAATATATTAATTTTGGGGGGATTTAAGACTACGGTGCACTTGGAAGGAAATTGAAAATAGAGTGCAATAAACTAAGAAGTGAAGCAAAAATTATAATTGTAATGACCTTATTTAGATCAAATTAATATAAATTATACTCAAGTGAGAGTATAAACTAAAAATAGATACAGAATTTAGAATAGTATAGAAACATAAAAACCGGAGTAAAGAAGGTTGATACTGTTTAAGTAGTCATTTCATATTTAATAATTTATATTTGGTATTTTA